AAAATGTTATTCCTTAGATACTACTACATTTTTTTTAGATATACCTATTATAAGATGCTGGTAATTAATCATTACAGACTTTTTTAATTACATAGAGATATTCACCTATTAAATAGATACTAGTTTTTATATATTATGCATTGGTATTCATTACTAGGATACTAGCTCTTATTAGTTATTATACTAGTCACTAGTATTTGATAAATGTGTACTAGTAGCTAATCAATAAGTACTAGTATCTAAACAAAAACTAGTATCTATAGTGAATAAATACTAGATTGAAATTAATAAGTATTAGGCTATGTCTACACTAGATAAATCTGAAAATAGTTTTCATCTAAAAACACTTCACATACACACTATCATTTTTCGATCACTTCTCAAAGTTTGTTCAACCACATTGAAGCAAATGAAAATGATTTCGTCCCTGTACTGAACGTTTAGACAATAAGGCCTGCCTCATTTTAGCCTTACATTTATTTCTTTCCTGGTTATTTGAGGATCCTGTATAAAGTTGCAAAAGCGAGTGAGAGAATATAGACTGGGAGATGTGCCAAAACAACAGCTCTAAGTAAACATTCCATGTCCTTTAAGGAAAAGCAATCTATAGCATGTACAAACTGACATCAATCTTTAACAATGCAATTAAAACAGAGCATCCAAAACAACTGCTGTACAAAGTCTTCCACTGTTTTAGCTAAATTTGTCACATGACTAAATATGCAGCATTGTTTTTGAAAGCCTCAGTTTTCAGAGTCTACACTGACTCGAAAACGGCATTTTCAAATGTATCCTTTTTAGAGTATTTTTAAAAAGATATGGTAGCATAAAAACACTGTCTAAGTATTGACAATTAGCCAAAATGGAGAGAAAAATGCTGTTTTAAACAAAAATCTATTGTGTGGCCTTAGTATTTGTTTAATAAAGTAGCTATGAGTTCCTAGTACTAGTATTTAATAATGATATACTTGCAGTGTTCAACAATAAGGACTGCCTTATGGCCCGGGGCCAACGTGAGAGATGTTTGGGACAGTAAAGAGAATCGTTACTGGCCCGATCAGACCAGTGCTGCCTTGTCATAAATTTTTTATTTGTCTGCGACTATTTGTCAGTTGCATGCAAATACAGTCTTAGAATCGAGAAACAATTTGTGTTTTTAAGTCTTTGAATGCTACCTTTTCTGTAAAGTCGTAAACACCACATTGCTTTTCAGTTCCTTTTATCTGATTGGAAGTTGTGAGCACGTTATTTTTTTCGACAACCTGGTAAAAACCTATACAGTGAAGAGACGGCAACATCAAATTATGAGGCTAAAAGAAAACGTCTGTTTCTAACGTTGTGGAAACAGTTACTTACATGGGTACAACACAACGAAAAAAAATTAAGTGATGTTTTGTATAGTTTTCCGTCACTTTTAAGTCAGCAACCTTTTGTTTTGCAATAAAATAACTGCACATTTTCCATACTGCTATATTTTACCGCTAAATATTTTAACATTTTAAAAATATTTAAATTCTAGATTTACAGACATCATTTTTGACATAATATTTAAAATATGTGGCTAAGGAATATTTATTATTTTAGTGGGGCCAGTGAAATTTTTGGCATAGCAAGTAAAAATCTGAATCGCTAGTCCAGTCTGGCCAGTAGAAAATGTCCTTAGCATTGAACCCTGACTTGTTTCTAAAAATATGTAGTATTTAAAAATGAAAACTGGAATATGCAAGTAGTTATATGCAAATATGTTTTTGTCACAACTGGAATAGATTTTTGCAGAAATATAGTTAATATCCCATTACTAGAAATTTGTTACCACTACTCCAATAATCACAAGAATACCTAATAATAAATAATAATATTCATGACTACTAGTATTCGATGAATAATTACTAGTTTTTATTTAATTGGTATATTATCTTATGAATTACACATATCTTTTCCATTGAGCACTAGTACCATAGTAAAATAAGCAAAATAAGCATGGTGGTTAATGCAAAAGTTACTAAAAGTAATGTAGTAGCATAAAATGCAGATGCAGCAATTATTATAACAGCTATAATTATTATAACAGCTTGCCATATCCGTCTTCTCTTTCTCTTAAGAGAATTATATGCTCCTTTAGTTCGGCTAATTGAAAAGTTAATCCATTTAACATTTCATCGAATAAATATTTTCCTCTCTTTTATAACCTTTAATAGCACGTGCTAGCATGAGCAAGAAAATGACTGAACACGAATACTCCATTGACAGGTATAAAATAGAATGAAGCAGAGTTATTTCTAAACAAGTGAAGCAAAGGAAAAAAACAACAACCTGTCAATCATTCTTTCCCTCTTTAGGCATCACCCCGCATCTCCAGCTGAGGAAACCACATCACAGACTAATGTCATTCTTGTCCCACAGCTGGAAGCAGAGTTCAGCCGAGCAGCCATGATCATCCAGAGAGCTTGGAGAAAACATGTTGTTAGTCAGCTTGTGTATTACATTTTTCCCCAATGTGGTTACATAGGATTTTATTCACAAATAAACAGTGCATACCGTGCCTGTCATGTATAGGATACTGCTGTTTTCAAGCACCTCAAGAAGCTTCTGAGCTTCCATAATCAAGGGGATCCACGTCTCCTCCTTAGATTTATTAACCCTGCTGAGGTAAATACTTCTGTTGTAAAGTTTAATTGAGATGTTTATTGTTTAGTTTTCCTAACACTGAATGCTTATTTCTAGGCTAATATTCTGGATGCTGCTTCAGGGGCTCTTATCAGATTCCGATTGGGTGGGGTGAGTGTTAATGATGTCCATGTTTCCTTTACAAGGTTATTTTATTTCATATCTATCTACTATTTTTTATTATTTATTTAATCTCATTTAAAGGGGTGGTCCACGATATCATATTTTAAACTCTAGTTGATGTGTATTGTAGCAGTGTGAACATAAACAACATGTCTGAATGTAATACGCTTCAATGCAAAGGGAGACCTTGGATTTTAGAGTTAACTTAGCAAAGTCAACAGCAAACGAAGTTTGGGGACTACAAAAAAATACATCTGGGATAGTGAGATCGCAAGGGCTTCCCGTTACGTGCATTCACCTCACACACACACCCTGCGCAGCGAAGGAGCGTGGCCAGATGTGCTATAATGTTAAAACTAAAAGCTAAAATGCTGTCCAAACGCTGCTATTTTCACAGTTTGTCCTGTTTCTGTATTTGGGCTTCCACAGGACATGACACAAAGAGAGAAGTGCTTACAATGTAATTTAAATTATGTTCCAGAGAATTATAAAAGAAAAAAGATTTAGTGCTTGCATTTGACAATGGAGAACTTCCAGAATCTCTCCCAGTTCAGTGCTGGATTCGGCTGAAACTCTTTTAACTGACGAAGCTGTGGATTGTGAGCTACAACGTGCAGGTATTTTTATTTGTTAAAATTGATCCATTAAATGCACAGTTTCTAGCGTTAATGCTATGTTGTAGTGAGGATGTAAACAAGGATGTTAACAATGGGTATTGCTGTTTGGCACCGCTAACAATTTAGCTAAAAATTCATATTTATCAGTCAAATTCCTGTAAACAGCCACAATCTTTAGCATCACGTGCAGTGTCTCTCTATGCGGACATTTTCTGTGCATTATATATCTCAAATGACCAACTCGCTAAAGATATGTGAACGTTTTATATTACTTACACATTCTTATTCTGAATATATGTGAAAGACACTTGTCAGATTTTATTTTAGAGAGCAGGTGTGAGCTGTGTGCTCTTCATTTCTGTCTGATTCATGATGTTAGCTGACCAATCAGAGCCTCTTGAGGGTGGACCTTTCAGAAGAACTAGGAAATATGACATACGTTTTTCTGAGTAGTATATAATCAAAGTATGATATATGAAAAAATAACATGATTTTCAACAAGTGAAGCATAAGCACACATTGCTTAGCATCTTATAAACACAACCAGCCATAAAAATACACTGTGGACCAGCCCTTTAAAGTGATGTAATATTTCTAATTTGTGTAGTATTCCTGTCTGTCTGTCTGTCTATCTATCTGTCACATGCTAGCAAAGCAATAATACATGCTAGCAACAGAACAGCAACATACTTGTATCGCTACAGAATGCCTCAACCTCAACAAGAAGGCTATAAATATAGGTTGGGGCCAGCTCCAAGTGGGTGGGCCTTGAGCTTTAATTGGTAATTGTCAATTAATGTTTTGTACATGACACAGAGTCTAATATTGTGCTCTATGAATTCCTACCCCAACCCTAAACTCAACCTCACAGTAACCTGATGTGTTTTATGAATATGTACTCCACCTACACCACCTAAACCCAGCCTACATGTGGCCCTTCCACAAGTCCCTCCCACTTTAAGATCACCCAACCCTGTCGGCGCCAGTGGTGTAGTGGTTAGTGCGTCGACACATGCACTCCGGTGCTCGCGGCGACCCGGGTTCGATTCAGCCTTGCGGTCCTATGCCGATCCTTCCCCTCTCTCTGCTCCCCATGCTTTCCTGTCAATTCTTTCCACTGTCCTATCAAAAGTTAAGGTGAAAACCCTGAAAAAATAATTATATAAAAAAAAAAGATCACCCAACCTACTTGCGGTGTAATCCCTACCACTTGGAGGTCTCCGACACTGCAATGATACCTACTTGTCCTCAACAACCCAGAATACCTTAGCAACCATCTAGGAACCACGCAGAACACTCAAGTAACTGAGTAGCATCACCTAAGCATTCTACACAAAATACACAAGCAACCACAATCAGTACCCAAGTTACTACCTGGCTATACCCTAGCAACAACACAAAATACACTAGGCAACCCCCTGAAATACCTATAGTAACCATACAGGGTGGCCCCCAGACGTCCAAAGACATGCGCTATATGTGAATTAGGTAGGCTAAATTGTCCGTAGTGTGTGTGTGTGTGAATGAGGGTGTATAGGTGTTTCCCATTGATGGGTTGCGGCTGGCAGGGCATCCGCTGCGTAAAACATTTGCTGGATAAGTTGGCGGTTCATTCTGCTGTGGTGACCTCTGATGAATAAAGGGACCAAGCTGAAAAAAAATGAAAGAATGAATGAGTAACCATACAGAAATATCTTAGCAACCACACATAACGCCCTAGCATCTGCATATCAACACTAGTAACCTCTTAGCAACCAACTAGGACCTCCTAGCAACTGCCAAACAGCCACACACAACACTCTAGTAAACCACAGCAATACTCTAGAATCTACACTGAATATCACCTACCTAGCAACTACACAGAACAGCTTAACCACCTGGCAACAACTCAGAAGACAATAGTAACTGTCTAGCAACCAAACAACACCCTAGTAACCACCAAAAAACCACATAGCAACACTTTAACAACCGACCAAAAATAGACTCATTTAAAACATAAAAAATTGAGCAACTAAATGTGTTTAATGTAAAACCGCTAAACTTAAAACTAATTTAAACCTACAACTTAATGATTTTAAAAAAGAATTCAAACTTTCAGGCTTGGTTATATTTGGTTTGGTTTAATAGTTGAGATGTGTTAAACATACACGTACATGCTACAATAAGTTACTGATTATAAATTTTCAGCCCACCTATCCTCCAGATATCTACTTTAAAATATACACTCGAGCTCCTGTGGTGGACATGTGTGCCTTCAGTCCAAAAGATTACACACTGCAGAAGAAACTGGTTTCAAACCAGATCCATAATGGCCGACTGCTGAGGGATAATGAGGACAATAATGCTGGGTGGTACCAAAGGGTGGAGAACAATGGCTGGAGGATTTTGTCTAGCAAGGTGATTTATCCAGTCGTAATACTTTCATTTTCAGTTTTATCATTTGTATACAATATGATAAAACAAAAATATAACAAAACTTATACAAACATATACACTCATCGGCCACTTTATTAGGTACACCTTACTAGTACCGGGTTGGACCCCTTTTGCCTTCAGAACTGCCGTAACTCTTTATGACATAGATTCAACAAGGTACTGGAAATATTCCTCAGAGATATTGGTCTATATTGACATGATGGTCATAAAGGGATGGACATGGTCAGCAACAATGCTCAGGTAGGCTGTGGCATTGACACGATGCTCAATTGGTACTAATCGGCCCAGTGTGCCAAGAAAATATCCCTCACGCCATTACACCACCACCACCAGACTGAACCGTTGATACAAGGCAGGATGGATCAACACTGTCATGTTGTTGACGGAAAATACTGACCCTACCGTCCACATATCACAGCAGAAATCGAGGACTCATGAGACCAGTCATCGTTTTTTCCAATCTGCTATTGTCTAATTTTGGTGAGCCTGAGTTTCCTGTTCATAGCTGACAGAAGTGGCCTTTCCATCAGCTCGATCCAGTCTGGCCATTCTCTTCTGACTTCAACAAGGCATTAGCGTCTACAGTACTGCCGCTCACTGGATATTTTTTTCTTTATCAGAACATTCTCGTTAAACCCTAGAGATGTTTGTGCATGAAAATCATAGTAGAGCAGCAGTTTTTTAAAAACTCTAATATAATAAATCTGGCACCAACAACCATGCCATAATCATTCATTCATTCATTTTCTTTTCTGCTTAGTCCCCTTAATAAACCAAGGTTGTCACAGCGGAATGAACCACCAACTTATCCAGCACATGTCTTACGCAGAGGATGCCCTTCCAGCTGCAAACCATCACTGGGAAAATGCCACGTTAAATCACCATTCTGATGCTCGGTTTGAACTGCAGCAGATCGTCTTGACCATGTCTACATGCCTTACTGCATTGAGTTGCAGCCATGTGATTGGCTGATTAGAAATTTGCATGAACGAGCAGTTGGACAGGTGTACCTAATAAAGTGGCCAGTAAGTGTATATTTATTATTACTGTCTGAATTTAGTAATATTATTTTTATTTATTTTATAGCACTGTTTTGATCATTGATAATATTAATAATGCTAATTATAATAATAAATGTTTCTTTTCGATATATTGATAATGATTTTTGATGAATGTGACAGTGTAGATTGGTGTAATGATGCTGAAAATTCAGCTTTCCATAACAGCAATAAATTGCATTTTTAAATACATTATAATTTTTTTTACTTGATTCTTGTACAATTTATCTTCAATCTCTACCTGTATGATTGAAGTTTTCCACGTCTGAAGACCCAATCTTCAAACTAACTGAAGATACCAAGAAGACAGAATTCCATCACTGCAAAATCCGCCGGCAGCAAGATGTTGCTAGAAAAAAGAAGATGCGGAAAATTGAATGGATGAGGAAAATGTATGTCAAGAAAACTGGCTTTGTTTGTGTTGGGTGAAATAGTTATTAGAAAACAAGAAACATGTAAGGAATGAATGACTCAGAGCTTGTTTACAGGTATGCGGAAGGCCGTACAGGACACAGTAAAACAGCACAACAACTTCAGAATTCCCCAGAGACATTGTTGGATTCATTTGAAACTTCCGACTTTGAGCAGGAAGTGGATGAGCTGCTAGCGTGGACCAGAGCTCTTGATTTTGATGAGTAATTGAGCTATAACACTGTTCATGACATTTAATCATTTTTGACAATATGATATCCTTTTCAAAAATGAATTTGTTTTTTTAATTTTTTTTTCTTGTCTCAGCTATATCAATGAATGGAGGAATTTGGGCACCAGCAGATGTTACATAGTTGACAAAGGTAAGTGTCTGTGCATGAAATCAACACTTTTACTGTATTGTGGCGCCCTCTGCTGGTCAACATTGAAAATATGTTTCCTTTAAAGATGATCTTTCTGTGGATGTTCAGCGAGACTTTGGTATATGTGAGATTTCTCCGCTCAGACAGGATGAGAGTCGACATCTAGATCTCATCTGAGAGTTTTTACTCATTTGCTTTATTAATTTGAATAAATCAAAAAGTTCTGAATCATTGTATGGAGTCATTTATGACTGGTCTTGTGTAGTTAAATATATTTTAAAATTAAATGTAGGGGAGAGTGGGAGAGTTGCAACACTTTTTGCATTTCCTTTAGTTTCTCAGATACAGTTTTTTTGTGGAAACCCAAAATTTTAATACAAAAAACCCACATCTGTTGGACACCCACCCACATTATTATAATATGTGTACATATGATAATATATGCAGAATTTAAACTTAAACAGACAAAATAAAAATAAAATATAATAAAAAGCTAATTCTAAAACATCAGGTTGGATTTTATTAGTATTTTTTCTTGTAAACAGACTAAATGTAAATTGTTAAATGTGTTAAAATGGCCATATAAATACAGACTATTAGAAGAACAACCAAATAACAACAAAATATTTTTTTACTGAAAATCTATACTGAATCTTTACTAAACTACTTCTTTGAACTTTTAAGTGAATTAATTATTCAAAAAATTTATTATTTAAAAATTAAATTACATTGAAATTGAATAAAATTAAAATTGTACATTGATTATATGGCAAGCTTTAAAATGAGTTTTGTAACTGAAGACAGTTGCAACAGCATGTCAACAGCATCCCAACTCTGTCAACCCTTATTAAACTGTCTATGCTGGAGATACAATAACTTAACGCTTGATGGCTATTCCTACACAGCAAAACCCAACAGTCAACTTTATCAAATGAAATGAGTGTAGTTAACTCAAAATTGATTGAAAGTTAATTCTACTCATTTGAAAAGAGTTTTGAACTCAGAGTTAAAGGTAATGATTAAATTAAATACCTCATTACTTCAACTTAAATGGAGTAAGTTCACAGTACTCGTATAGATTAGTTAAACTCAAGTGGTTTGTAGCAAAGTTTCCTCGAATGGTTTGAGTTGCCTTAACTTATTGAGTTTTACAATACTCAGTTGGATTTAAACTTTACGAATGAATAATGTTTAAAAAAAACAAATTTGATTTTCTGAACAAGAAAAACTTCTGAAAGAGTAATTATTATTTTTTACCTAAAATTGTTTTTATATTGAAGGAACGGTCAAAAATGGCTGATTTCTCAGATTGAAGATAGGTCTAACTGAGAATATGTGGGAAGAATATCATCACTCTCATTCCTCAATAGAGGAATAAGTGTTATTGCAACTGCCCTATGTTGCAACCGTACCCACTCTCCCTACTGATTAAAGTTCAGAAAATGTTTTGTCTGTTCACCAAGGTTCCATTTGTTTCAATCAAAAATAATTCGAAAACTGTATTATTGTGACATTATAGCCTAATTTTTTAAAATGATTTTTCAAGTATTTCTGTAAGTCAATACAGAATTTTTGGCATTTTAGCTGTTTTTTGCTCTTTGTTGTGTGTGGGTGTGTAAAATCATTTTATTTTTCAGGATTCTTGATGAACAGAAAGTTCAAAATAACACTTCATTTGAAATCAAATCTTTTGTTTTATTACAGCTGTCTTTACTGTCGCTATTGGTCAATTTAATATCCTCTTGATTAATCAAACATTTAAAATGTAATTTGATTTCAATAATTTTTCACAATATTAATTATTTTTTATAATTTTTTTTTTACAAATAAATGCTGCATCAGTGAGAAGAAGAGAGACATCTCCAAAATCTAAATTAATATGAATGAATTAATCTTTTGACCCTGCTCAAAAATGTATTACAAATAGAAATGTCATTCGGCTTAGTACCATTATTCATCAGGGGTCACCACAACGGAATGAACCACCAACTATTCCAGTATATAATAAACAGCGAATGCCATTCCAGCTGCAATCCAATACCGGGAAACATCCATACACACTCATTCACACACATACACTACTTTTAATAAAAGGGACTAAGTCGAAAAGAAAACGATTGAGTAAATGAATTCACCTGTAGCGCATGTCTTGGGACTGAAACCTGAGCGCCTGGAAGAAACTCACAGGGGGAAAATGCAAACTCCACACAGAAATGCCAACTGACCCAGCCGGGACTCGAAACAGCGACCTTCTTGCTGTGAATCTTGACCCCTGAGTGACCTTGTCGCTATAAATAAAATAAGCATTTTAAGTAAAATATAACCTTTGAAATGTCGCACCTAGCTAAACTGAGATAGGTTCAATAATATTCAAGTTGTCTAAGATCGTCTATTATAATAAAACTGCAAACCACTTTAACGAGATTTTCTCAAATACCGCGAGACTCATGAACGTGACGCGCAGCCAATCAGATTCCTCCTTGTTGTCGGGGCCGTGTGAGTGTCCCCGTTAGCAAACATGTCGAGGCTAAGAGAATATAAACCGGCTCCTTTGGCCACACTTCCAAAAACATTAGACCCGGACGAGTATTACAATCTTTCCCCCGAGTACCGGCGGGCGGAGGAGGAGCGGACGGCTCTGCGGTCTCAGATGAAGAGACAGTACCAGATGCAGCTCAACAACCCCTACCGCAAAGAGCTGATTGTAAGACCAAGCGAACATTAGCTTAAAAATTACAACAGTTACTATGATGCTAAGTATATATCGCCGTTATATTATAGTAAAGGTATAGTTTTGCCATGCTGTAATAGATATTTATGTGTCTACATTTATGTCTTCGAGGCTTATATTGCGTTAAAATGAGCCCTCACTGAGTGACCTTCACTGCTGGAGGCTAGCAACTATACTTTAGCAGTTTGTTTTGATCCACATACGTCGCTAATGTGAAGTTTACATTTTGGATTGAGCATGTTTACTATATTTATATACATTCTGCATTATGGATAAATGTATTGGTTTAAATGTGTCACCTTAAAATACTGATCTGGAAGGTAACTTGATAGCTTTGATAAACTTGCTCGTTGTTATTTGTAGGAAGACCCTGCCCTTACCAGGTGGCTGCATGCACGTAATATCGTGTACCCGCATTTCAGACCATCTACTAAATCATCACTGATTGGCGTGGCTTTTGGAGCTTTACCTCTGGTGCTCTTGTACTTTGTGTTGAAGACAGACAGGGTGAGTAGGAATACACAGGGTGCGAATTACAGGGGGGTTGGGGGTGGATTGATCCCCCTAATTAATGCTTGATCCCCCCCCTAAAGGACATTAAAACAAAATGTATAGGTGTCAGCCCTTTAATAGTAAGAAATAGCTTTCTCTGATCTACTGTATATGTTAAATATTAAAAATTAAAAGTGTATAATATAAATAAAAATTTGACCCACCCTATAGTGGTTTATACTATTATGAATGCATGAAGCTGGCAGTTCGAGAGCACCGATAGACATCTTAAGTATTCACAAAACATGTTCCTTGTAAAATAGGTATTTGTATCTGCATGTAGCCTAAAAAAGGAAAATTAGACACATAATTTGTATAGTTTGACCTACAGTAACATCTAAAATAGTCACTGAATATCCCTCAAAACGCTGAAAATGTATACATTTTATTGATAAAGTAGATGTAATTTAAGTATTCATAATTTTGTTTCACTAAAGCATGTATAACCAAACTATTACCAAAAAAGTTGACCTTCCTGAAAGTCAATGTATTATTCACACACTGGAAATAGACCAATTCACTGCTTGTCGCTTTAGGGTTTTTTGCTGTGAAATTTGATTTTAGTTAATCAGTGTAGTATACTTTGCTCTATTTTTTTCATTTATTATTATATTCAAGCCAGTAGCCAGCCTGGTGAATAGGCTGGTTCTTTTTTTTCTCAAAAAGGAGAACTTTTTTTTAGTTATTTGCCTCATTTTCTATATAATAATGAGATTTAAGTAGTGCATTTTAGTGACATTTTAAACTCTATTTTTAGCTAGATTAGCTTATCGGGTGGTCATCATAACACACGCTTATTTAAGTACCAATAATATTTCCTAATGATTTAAAATAAAGATATATGAATAAATGCTTGTAATAAAATTGCATTTAAAAAATATCATATATCATAAGTAAAAAATAGGAATCTGTTAAAGTTGTAAATTAAAAACTGTAACCTATTGTCATTAATTGTGCAAACAACAAACTGGCCGGCACATTCAATTCAGAATTTGGCCATTTGAATAAAAATTAAAACAAACTAAAAATTATATTAAAAAATAATAATGTAAAGCTTCACGATTTTTGTGACCTCTTTTGTATAAAAATACATTTGAAAAATTATGGATAACAACAACAATAGCCAAAGTAGTATTCAAATTACTTATGATATTGGGCCACTTTTGGCTTTTTTTTTTATTGATCACTTTTTGTTTCAAGAATAAGGTCCAAGATTTAGAATAAAAGTCACTTGTAAAATGTTTTCTCTTTTTAAAAACAATACTATAGTGAAAGATGACTTCACTTACATCAGATTGTGCGTTTTCTTGCTCAGCTGGATGTTGAAATCATGAAAAAATATTGTTTTCATTGGCCAAACGGATTAGCTGAAGTCACAACAACCTTTTTCGATGAGTTATTTTCATAATTTAGAATGGCACAGCAGTCAATAAAGGACAAATAAGCTCATGTATGGGACAAATTCTAGCCCCTTGTCAGTGAGGGTTGGGTCTTTCAAACTAGTACACCCAAATTTAGGTTGCAGTAAAACATTAAATACAAATAAAATTTTGAAAAAAAGTAAAAATCAAGAGAAGCAAAAAAGAAAAATGTAGTTTAAATTTTGTAGGTTGTCTTGAATATAATTTCATTATCCTTCAATTTGTAAATATGTTTGGTGACTAAAATATTACTTTGATAGTTATATCTGTTTAATAAATCTGTTTTGTTTAAATGCACCAAAATACATTGCCTATATTCCCTGAGAAATGAGTATTCATTTTCAAAATTGGGTGTACTCAATTATGCTGAGCACTGTATAATTTAAATATCATTTTAGTTATTTTTAGTTATTTTTTTACTTTTTGAAATGACAAAATATACCATACATAAAATATATTTGCTGTTTGTTTACTGCTCAGAATTTTAAAGGAATTTATGGTAAATGCGCAATATTTACGCAATTTAGATTTTATTTCTTTGGCTTGGCATAATACTTGTTTCTTTCACAGTCAAATATGGCTGAAGTACTCAAAGTAAAATAGAATAAATTAGCAGGAAATCAGTGTAATATAATGTATAATATTAGCAGTTTTAGATGTAGTTTTTTAATACATTTTGGTATTTTTATTACTGTTAATTGAAGAATTAGAAACATATGAAGAAACCTATTTAAACATAGCAAAATGTAAATTTTTGATTTTAACAATATCTGATAAAAATAGCTGATTGTTAGTTTGGACCACCAGAAGAGGGTTTTTATATTTCTCCATATCAGCCAAATGGGCTTTTTAAACCCCTGAACATAAATTATATCTGTTTTATTTTAAAATTTGTGTGTTCATGTAGAAAATTGAACAAATCACCAAACCAACACACAAAAAAAACAAATCAACAACAGAAATAAAAATGTCTTGTTCAAATTAATCAATAAATGTTTCATTTTAAGCAAAAATGCAAAGGTTAAATGACTTTATGAACCAGATTTTGTTTTCTTTTTCTTTCTAGGACAAAAGGGATTCCAAAATAGATGCCGGGACTTATAAACGCCCCTTTAAACTGTCATCCTAAAATTCTCAGTTCGCTGTTTCTTGCAACAAACAGTACTTGTAATTATATATTAAACACCTTATTGTTGAAACGTCATTACTATTATTAAAGAAAAAGGAAAAGCACCAACTGCATTTTTGTAATTTCATTTAATTGTATGGCTGTTCTTATTCTAAATGCACAGAACATCTGGGATTAACTGAACCTCTCACAGATAAAACCATTATGAGTGAATCAGATATTTCAGTCGAGGTTTAACCATGGGCTCTACTTGCTGCTGGGTTTCCAGTTTGGATTGAAGTGACTCTTTAATGCCTCCCAGCATTTATAGTAGTTTTTATCCAGACGCTGACAGGTCTCCAAACCCCACTTAGTCACAGCCATGCTGAAGGAAGACTCGAACATGAAAGCCTATCAAAAACAGTACAGTTTAGAATTAGATTTTCTTCTTTGATGTATTACAAAACCAGATACATAATAAACATTACCATGGTGCCCTCAGCAACTCTCTCTGGCTTGAGAAGAGCAGTGCTGTTCTTCTCGAAGCAGTCAACGTCAGGGCCGTGTGGAGTCATGATGCTGTGAAGACTTCCTCCTCCAGGCTGGAACCCCTCTTCTTTGGCTTCATAATGGCCTTTGATCAAGCCCATAAACTCACTCATGCAGTTCCCTTTCAGAACAGACAGAGGGCGCTCTTGAGCTTAGTCTCAATTCTCACTTGCTTTCAATGTAATGCTCAATGAGTCCCAATGTGCCTACTGTTAAGACATAATACCATCGTTTACTCAATTCTGACTCCGTTAAACACAAGAGAAGATATTTTGAAGAATGTTGGAAACATGTAGCCGTTAACCTCCATAGTGTTTGTTTTTCCTATTCAAGTTTATTTGTGTAATGCTTTTTACAATTATTGTTTCAAAGCAGCTATACAAAAAAAGGTGCACTTTATAACATTACAATCAAATTAAGTTCAAGTTACAATCAAATACCAGTTATTATATACAGCAGGGCTCAACAATAAGGACTGCCCGATGGCCCGGGGCCAGCGTGTGAGATGCTCGGGACAGTAGACAGGATCGTTACTGGCCCGATTGGGCCACTAATGCCCTGTCACTATTAGTTTAATTTGCCTGTGACTATTTGTCAATTGCGTGCAAATACAGACAGAATACAGAAACCGTTTGTGTTTTTAAGCCTTCAAATGCTACCTTCTCGGTTCCTCTTATCTGATTGGGTGTTGTGAGCATGTTATTTTTTTCCATAACAACCAGTACAGCTAAGAGACAGCAACATGGCGGCAACATCGAGTGATGATGCTAAACGAAAACATTTGTGTATAACGTCTTGGAACCAGACTTTTACGAGGGTACACCACGACTAAAAAAAATGAAGTGATGTTTTGTACAGTTTGCCGTTAGGATGGCAGGTCAGTCATCTTTTGTTTTGCAAAAAAATACCTGCACATTTTGCTACTTTTGTTTGCAAAACACTTTATTAACATTTTTTAAAAATTTTAATTCTAGATTTACAAACATTTTGACATTTTTTTTTATTTATGGCTAAGAAATAGCTATTAACTTTTTTTTGGTGGGGCCAGTGACAATATTGGCAGGGCAAGTAAAAATCTGAACCACTGGTCCGATTGGGCCAGTAGAAAACAATCCTTAGCGTTGAACCCTGTACAGACATGGTTAACCTGCAATCTTACAGCATATAGGTGATGTCCATATGTACGTTTAATAGAGTGTAATAAGTGTATGTGTTGTGTCCTCGATGGTTGGCATCATCTCTTCATATGTGTTGCTTAAAGTCTCCTTTTCCTACTATTGATGTCAATGTTTTCAGGTTTCCAACGTTCTTCAGGACATCTTATTTTTGTGTGTTCAACAGAAAAAAAAATTTTTAACTGTTTTTTGGAACAAGTCAAGGGTGAGTAAACGATGACAACACCAAAATACTTGGTTACCTGAATATTAAGTGACAATGACTGAATGTGAATGATTGTGTGTGACTGGATCTGCACATCTGCATCCAGCTCAACATTCTACAATTTGGGGAAGAATAATACTAATTTTAAATACTAGGATAGACAGCATTCAAATGAAGACACAGCCCAGGTATGCAGTTTAAAATAAAGACTATTTAGGGTGAATAGTGTGCAAATTGGGAAACGATACATGCAGTCAAGAGCTACATAGTATTTAGGGCAAGCAATACAAATTGAAACACTGTGAATATCGTGTTTTGGAGCAGCTCATTTACATTCTTCAGTAGTTCGGCAACTAAAAACAACGATACAATGTAGCTTTGCCATTAGCTAGCTACATTTTTTATTAAGTAGCGAAGTTGCTTTACAACAGATACATTTCATTTAGTAAACCTGCAATGGTCTGATGCAGCACAGTGTTATCTTACAAGAGCACATGCTACAATGGTGTATAGGGTATATGCAGAAGGAATTACAATTTTTCAGTAACCTGGGTCAAATGCTTGCGGTGAGCTGTATGACGTTACAAAATCACTGTGTTTAAGGTCTGTTTTCTTTATAAATCAACGATCGCCACCGCCAGATTGAGATATGATATAAAGTGGGTCTCAAAACGTAAAAGAAGCACTGCATTAAATTACATTTTTCCACGTCATGTCTTTAAAATATGAACATTTATTTTACCCCAGTATATTCAATGGAGCTTCTGCACTAGCCTGCTGATCCTGACAGACGCGTACATGTAAACGGCTTTTCATCTCATTTTATGTTTGAAAAACTTCATGATAGCTGAAATCATTTAAACGGATTATATTTTATTGACATTACAACATCGATGCTGTAAAAGAAACAGTATAAAATTTTAAAGTCACATACATTGTTCACCAGAAGATTATCAGTAGGGGAATAAACTAGCTGTGCATATACCCTTTTACAGCCATGGTAAACCACCCATCTCAAGGCTTTACATTTATTTATTACTGTTATATAGTCCATTTCTATTAACAACAGTTGAAATTCCATTTATAAAGTATTCTAACAGTTGGCAATTGACCTGATGTTAGAATGTTGTGTGACGTTTTAGTTATTGCAATGCTACATCCCAGCAAACAATTTTGTGTTTAATAGACTTCTAAACGTAGACAGCTTGACTAAACTTGAACTGTCAGTGAAAATCTAATAGACATCTAAGAATAGCCCAAAACTAGACTAGTCATCAAATAGACTGATTAGAAAGACTTTATGTGTAGTCATTCATTTCTGTTTATTTGATGACTAGTCTAGTTTTATCTTCGGTGTCTATTAGATTTTCACTCTCAGCCCAAATTTAGCCTCGTTTTAGCCAAGACAATTATGTTAAGACAATAAATGTCTATTAGATATTTATTAGACCTATTTAAAAAACAACAAACTGCTTGCTAGGATTTGTTGCAGTTTGTTATTTTGACTTTTGACAGTCTTAACGTTGACAATTGTAATGTACGGCTTTTAGGTACCAAATTTTTAACTTAAAACAAACATTTATTCACATTTTTGTAAATAATATACACCTGAAAAAAGTTGTTTCAACGTAACTCCTTTTAAGAACTTGAAGTGTAACGAGCTACATTTTTAGAGGTGTAGTTTGACATCTTGGGTCTGTTCTTCATGCGTGGATTACTCAATTAACAGGATTTGTTATTGATGATTTTAACAAACCAGGATTGTTTTGTTCATCATAACCCAGCCGAGTTGTTACAGCAACAGGTCTGGTAGCTTAAATCTGCTCGGGAGCAGGCTTATTTAATAGAAACAGGATTAGATCAGGTCATTTCAAGCAGAAGTAATACTGAAAGTATGTACTGCATGCTGATATTTTCCTACCTATGGGTTATATACACTGGGGGAAAATAGTAAATAGTTTTTTAAAAATGTGATTTATGTTGGCGCAATAGCCTAGTGGTTAGCGTGCCGACATATGGTGCAAAAGCACGTCAGGGCGTTGCGAGTTCGAATCCCGGCTCGATGACATTTCCCTAACCCTCTCTCTCTCCCACTTTGCTTCCTGTCTCAATACTGTCCTATCTAAAAAAGGCCATAAATAAATCTTTAAAAAAAAAAAAGTGATTTATATAAATCTGCTCTAAAAGTAAAATTAAATAAATTGTTAAATATTCTTGACACGTGTAAGTGTAAAGCCTGTAGCCCACAAGTGTGTAAATTTACTGTGTATCATATCTAACAAAGTTTACTACGCAGTTTATGTAATTTTGCTCACAATAATAATTGAATATTAATCAGATGATGTCATTACCCTGCTGTGCCATCAGCCAATCATTACACTGCTTATCATGATTTCAAGAATCAATACATCTGTCCTTATCAACACGTGTAGCGATCTCAGCTCTCATCCAGACATAATCTGATTCGTAAACTTGTTTGAAGAACCAAATTAGCCAGAGATCAGTTGTCAAGATTAAATGATCCAGGATCTGCCAAATCATCCTAGATTATTTAGGTGAAGTAAGAAGAATGGACCCCTTATTTCAAACGGGTTTCCCCCAACACTGGCAAAAATGTGTTGTCAACACATGCAGACTTACTATGGTAGTAAGGAGGCCGAAAGGTGTGATCAGCCACACCCCAACGAGGAGGAAAGATGACAAAATCTGCAATGGCCACCCCTGGCCGAGTGGACTTGGCTGTCAAAACGGTAAAAATCGATGGATCCTAGAAATAAAGACAGCTAATTTGATTAACTGCATAAATCTTATGATTGTAAGATATTAATTGAAACAAACTACTCACCGCGTGATCAAACGCCACACAGTTGATGACCATGAAGTTCTCCAGATTGTATTTGTACGGTGCATAGTTTCCGTGCCACGCCACCACGTTAAATGGCGAGAAGTCCTATTAGAGCACATTTAAAAGGACAAAAACATGTGTACTGTAATGACAAACCACATAATGAATTTCTGCAAGCGCCGAATATATAATCAATAGCAATGTCAATCTCAAAACACTAAGACATCCGATCAATATCCTCAATAAAGCCACATCATTTTGTTTAGTCGCTATATACTCTTGTTCTCGAAATACTAGGTTGCGAAGTGAGAAGTCCTCGTTAAAAACAGCGCAATTTTATACACCTTTCGCTTGATAATGTTGCAGGAGACACATTTTGAATGCTGCCAGCAAAATCAATATAATTCATTACAGGAGAGACTGCCTGCTGTCCTGACCCTCACGCGGCCTCCCGTTGTTTCAAACCCACCCACATGTACAAACACACACCAGATAAAACCTCAGTCACAACTGTACACACAACAAGCAACTCGAACAAGAACATGACTGTTTTTACAGTTACATTCAGTCGCACAAAGACGTTCTCGGTGCACCCTGGGGTTTCTGGGACCCCGAGGTTTGTAATCTCACAGGCATAACAGTTCTCGAGATAACTCTACCAGACTCTATTAAAAAAAAACTCATACACACAAAAACACAAACATATTTTCCCAGTCAAGCAAATAATAAGCTAATTTAAGCAATTTTAGCACTCAGTTGGAGGACAAAACAACAGGATAAGGCTGTAGCTTCTCCTTGAAGGAAAGCGAGCACCGTACAGATGGAGAGACCTTTCTGCTCAGCTACTGTATGGATGTGCTCTAGATGCGTTTTTTCATTACAATGAGTGATACAGCCTGCTTTAATTTACTCCTGACAACCATAACAAGTCAATTATTCACTCGACAAGACGGATTCAGTCCAAAATGAACGGTCCTGCATGAGCTGTTTCCTAATCCATAAACATTCAGTGCTTTATTGATGTCGGCAATGTTAGCATTGAGAGATATTAATGCTGTGATAATTTCTCAGCACCTGTTGACATGAGAAGAGCTTTCCCTGGTACTTGTTGACAATGGTGTAGCCGGTGGCTATAGTGCGGTCCTCGTACCAAGCCACGGGGGTTTGGAAGTCTCTGGGGTTTGCCAGTCCATTTGCCCCTGCGGTGTAGATGTAAATGAATAGGCTTTTCTTGAAAGCAATGTGTTATTAGGATGCATTATAAAACGTAGTGTTGTACATACCTATTGGACCCAGGTCAGGCAGCTCGAAATGAGCACCAAACACCTCTAAAATGTATCCTCGGGTCTCTCCGAACACGTCGACACTAAAACGCATTCCTTGCTGAGAAGACAAAAGATTATATAATTTCAAGAGTTCACACTTAGCTGATGATTGATTATA